AGTAGCCTGATCTTAGAAGGCACTGAAGTGAAGTCTGTTTTGGCTGAATTCAGCAGCAAGCCTTCCTTTGGCTTCAAGTTTTCGTTGGAGAGCCACAAGTTCAAAAGTACTTCGCAATGCAGCCTGTTACAGGACCAGATATTACCAGGAACTTCCTCAACCTCTGCTGTTGGAGCAGAGCTGTGTAATACCTCCCATCAATATAAAGTATTAATATATTAATATATAATAAATAATGTACGCTCCTTCTCTGCTTTGAGTAACTCCCTTTAACTGGAGATTGGCAGGTGGGAAAGGTCTGCTAGCTGCAGCTGTGCTGATAAACGTGGAGGACAAACACTAGTAGGCTGGCAAAATGATGAAGAATTCTGTATAGAAATGTAGTTGCATGCTTAGGTTTATTTACTGACGTAAAGGAAAAATGGTTGGGTTTTGTTCAGTCCTTGTGAGAGCTGGAAAAGATGAGTTCTTAGCTAATTGTGCTCGGCTTTGTTGTGGTCATTTGGTATCCATGTTACCACAGAGCTTAGGAGTGGCAGTCATCTTTTCTGTTCTGTGTGTGTATATTCAGGTCTTTTTATTATATTCTGATGACATTTTTACTTTATGTATGAGTGTATTTGTGTATAATGTGCAGATACAGTCAAACTACCATCAGCCTAAGTTTAGAAAATGTTGTTTAATATGATCTTATTTATTTATATGCAGTAATAAGTTGGATTATAACAGAATATTGTTGGTAAACATTTTAAAGCCACTGTTACTAGCTGAAAAAAGTGCCTGTATCTCGTATATAAAAGTAGCTCTGCCTCTACCAGTATTGCTATAAGCAGTAGAATCAAGGACTGTTGGGTAGCCTATATTCATACACAGTCTGCAGCAAACAATATAAAAATATGGGTTATTTTATGAGCAGTCTGCCAGGAACACTTTCATAGCTTTGAAATATGTCTCATTTTCCTTTTTATCAGAGAGGCCATTAAAATCCAATGGATGCTAATGCAGTGTTAGATAATTTTTTAATACTTTTAATGTCTCCATGGTGCCTTATTCACGTAAACGTGTTAGTAGTCAGATAAACCATATTGTCTCTGTGGCATGTAAATCAAATTTGAATTGAAGCTTTTACTACTAGTTCAACCTTTCAGCATCCCCAGTGTACATGTACTTAAAACCTGCATGCCTGAAGTGTGGAGTTCCATGGGTGGCTGAGTGAAGTCAGCGCTACCTACTCTTTGTTATCTTTACATTCTGGATCACCATACATTTGTTTGATTTGGGTTCACCAGACTGATTGCACATATAGATAGATTTAGAAGAACAAATTGAATGCAGAAAGCTGGTTTTATTAGCACAGCCGGCTTAATTTTCAAAACTTGTTGCATGAAGAAATGTGCACATTTACCATGATCATGTATGCAAATACATTTACTGCTTTCACTGTGGTTGCTTCAGTGTCACAGCTCTCACCCTTTTCCTGCAAAGCAATATAAAACAGTAATAGCTGGTATGGCTTAATCAGTCACCCCTCTCTTCTGGGAATGGTGCTGCTTCCAGTCACAAACATAGTCTGATCAAAACCGTGTTCATCAGTGTGTGATATTAAACAACACTGGCCCCAGTAATGACCCCTAGGGTACACCAGTGGTACGCATTGGCCTCCAGGTGGACTTCATGTCGCTTACCCCAATCCTATAAGCCCAGCAGTTCAGTCAGTTTTCCGTCCACCTCACTGTCCATTTATCTATCTACCCCATGCTTTATCAGCTTGTCTGTGAGGATATTATGGGAGATAGTGTGAAAAGCCTTACTCAAGTCATGATATACAACATGCACTGCTCTAGTCGCATCCACCAAGACAGTCATCTCATTGTAGAAGGCTATCAGGTTGGCTAAGCATGATTTCCCCTTCGGAAATCCATTCTGACTACTCCCAATCAGCTTCTTGTCCTTCGTATGTTTGGAAGTGGCTTCCGTGATTATTTCCTCCATCTCCTTCCCAGGGATAGAGGTGAGGCTGACCATTATGTAGTTCCTCAGATCTTCTGTCTTGCAGTTCTTGAAGACCGGGGTGAGATTTGCTTTCTTCAAGTCCTCAGGAACCTCCTCTGATCACCATGATCTTTCAAAGATAAGTGAGTGCGGCTTTGCAATGACATCAGCCAGTTTCCTCGGTATTCATGGGTGCATCCCATCAGGCCCCTTGGACTTGCGTATGACCAGCCTGTTTAAATGTTTTCTAACTTGGTCCTCCTGCACCAAGCGTGTCTTCCTTGCTCTGGACCTTCCCACTGGTCACAGGAATCTGGGACTTCTGAAGACCAGCCCTTCCAGTAAAGACTGAGGCAAAGAAGGCATTGAGTACCTCGGCCTTTTCCATGTCCTTTGTCACCAGTTTCCCTGCCCCACTCAGTAGTGGACCCACATTTTCCCTAGTCTTTCTTTTGTTGCTGATATACCTCTAGAAGCTTTTCTTGTTGCCCTTCTTGTTGCCCAGCCTGTCCTTCTCAAACAGCCTGTATCTGTCCATGGCTGGACAGCCTTCCAATTCTGTGAGCCACAATGTCGCCATGATCCCAATGAGATCACATCCCTGCAACTGCATGCAGACCTCTAACATTTCCTTTTTGTTCTCCATGGTTAGTGTGTTAGTGTACAGGTAATTCAGAGAGGCACCCAGTCATGCTGACTTCCCAGAAAAGGCTGGAGAGCTGTTTCCATGCTGTCCTGCAGGTGCTTCCTTATTTATATGCATACACTTGAAGCAGGCCCCAGTTAGCCTTGTTTTGTTGATCATGAGGTCACACCTGTCCACATCATCCTGCTCACTTCACTCGCCAAATCAGTCCGTTACTTCCTCACTTGATTGTAGATCCTCATCTCCCTCCCCTGTCTTTCCTAGTTTAAAACTGTCCTCACCAGGTTGGTCAGCCTGCTGGCAAAAATGTCTTTGCTCCACTTAAGTGGATCATATCTCTTCCAAGCAGTCCTCGATCCTCAAAGAGGGTCCTGTGAACATAAAAGCCAAATCCCTGTTGCTGGCACTAGCTGCGCAACCACTTGTGGACTCACAGGATCCATCTACTCCTTCTCAAGCCCTTCCTCCTTACCAGCAGGACTGAGGAGAAAACCACCTGGGTCCCCATGCCCTTGACTGTTGCTCCCTTCCAGGATCAGAGTGAAGCTTGTTACTGTTGTGAATATGGTGGACAGCAGTTTTTTATGGATTTGCTCCTCATGGTAGAAAAAGCCCTTTCTGCTGTGGCCTTGAGTCCCTTCTGCTCTCTCGCTTTCCTTCTTTCCCATTTCACTCCCATGGAACAGAAGAAATCAGGGCTGGAGGAAGCTAGTCTGAAAAAAAGGCAGCGCAGCCTTTGGCGGATCCTACCCTTGTTCTCCTAGCAGAGAAACTGCGACCTGCTCGTCCTCCTACCAGATCTGTCCCTGGAAGTAATGGCTAAGGGCTAATACTTTCCCAGGCCTACAGAAGAACTTTGTCCTAGTTCAAGACATGGTATGCTGTTTGTGTGGCATTTGCTTTCCCTCTAGAGAAAAAGAGTTACTGAGCATTTTCTTTTCTGCTTCTGTGATATAAGTAAATATTTCTGGATGCAGGAAGTTAACTTTTCCCCGACCCTTAGGAGCTGGTGTCCAAACACTTGGGTTTGCCAGGGTAATCAGAAAGTCGAAGCAAGTTGATGTATGAGTTTTATTCATTGACCTGTCTGCATTCCTGCCTAGCTCTGCATTTTTAATGATTATCTAGTTTGGCTCAGCAGATTTATACAGTTCACACTTCATTATCCAACAAATACAGAATACTGAGAAATGATCTCAGGCAGTGCAGCTCTTCCTGCAGTTGTGGAGGTTTTCCTAGATGGGCCTTAGAGTTTTGAAAGCCGTGGTGCCACAGTGAAAGTTAATTGACAAAGATTTCTCCTAACAATTCAGGATTCCTTGGCTTGTAAATTAGCATGGAAAGAGAGGCTGCAGATAGTGGGTTTCCACCTTCTCTCCTGGAAGTGGTCTGACATATTGGAGGGCACTTGAGTGCTTTTGCTGGCACAGATCCTGGCTTAGGATTAGATTTAAAAGTGCCAAAATGTTGACAAAAGACTTTTTTGCCAACAAAAGTTTTTCCCACCTTTCGCTTTGTGATATACACTCAGTCACAGAGAACTCTTCAGTCATCAAATCGTCCCCAGGCAAATATGGTCTAGTCTTGAAACTGGCTGAGGTATGCACCCTACAGCCTTCAAGTGGCCATTTGCCAAGTTCGGAAACAAACATCTGCCTTCTGGCCAAGGATATTTTATTGTGTTCTTCCTTTATATAATCTTATGGGAACTGTCACAAGCAAAATATGAATTAAGAGCAGTGAATGCATCTTTTGCAATAAGAATAAACAGAAAAGAAGACAAAAGCAAGCCTACTGTGAACTGCTTCTCCTTAACGCCTTAATTTCTTAACTTGCTTTTGGCTTTCGAAGTATATGTAGTAAGTAGAATGCTTAAAACATTAGTTATTTTACTTTGTCTGTTTTCACTGCGGACATTGCTGAAATCCTTTGAAAAGGAACTCCCATACCCTTCAAGGCGAATAGCAAAGTAATTCTTTGTGCCAGGTGAGAAACTCTACCAGGAAAGACAGTGACTGGACTGTCACTGTCCAGATAGAGCAGCTGTCCAGTGGACAGAGCAGCACTGTTCAACACGGGGGAAGGAAGTTACTAAATGCAAAGGGTAATGTCCTCTCAAAAGAGGTGACTAGGGCAAAGAAAAATTAATATATTAACATTGATTAGTGGCAAAGTGAGGAAGGAAAATGTAACCCTGAGGAGATCCATGCTGGAAAAAGCCGGCATGAGAGTATGTGAACTGCTTATCCAACCACCTGCTTTGGCTCCAGCTCCACAGAGATGTAGGCATGGGGACATGGGACATGATGTCTTCATACTTCTTACAGACTGAGTACTTTTTTGACTCTTTTTCTCTTTACAGGAACCCAGACCTTTGTATAACAGAAGGTGCCAGTTTTATTCAAGCGGAATAGGATTCCTATATGATGCCTACCAGACAGAGGTAAACAAAGTAACTTCATCACATGTTCATTTGTGATTTGGGGAGCTGGGGCAGAGGAACAAGGGTTTGAGAGGATCTCTCTGTATGTAGGTCAGTGATAGAAATCCAAATGTTTTTTCTTCCACAAGAGATTCCTCACCTGTCTAAGCCTCTGGTCATTGCGAATCATTACACTCAATGACGTTTTGAGTTAGCTTCACTGTTTATATCCAGGGTATTTACTCTGGGGCTGAAATCATTCCTAGCCTATCTAGATTGTATAATAGCTGTCTGGAATGTATTTGTCACATTGGCATGTGTCTCTAAGAAGGCGTTTGTTGACTCCAAGTGGTATAGAAAATATCTAAATGAATCCATTTGCGTTGCCCAGAAGACTTCAAATCTCCTCTGTATTTACTGAGCACAGGCCAAAAACGTCCGTGGTCTATATTCAGCTTTTTTTTTAATGTCAATGACATTAATATGGTCAGAAAAGTGCCCATACCCAAATGGCTAGCCTCTTGAGAAGTCCAAATTGAGTTTCTTTTCCTATTTTCCATTTTATTATTATGGTAATAATAAATTGGTGGGAGTGAAAAGGAAATCAAGCAGAGCAGGACTGAAAACAGACAAACAGTGGTATAACTTACAAGAAGCCAGATGTCCTTCATCACCATTCCTTCCATGGCTGTGAAAAAGTGTATGGGGAATGTTGCTGTTAACGCTTTTAGACAGCTTAGCAAAGTATTTTATCAGGTTAAACAGCTAATACTGCTTAAATCTTGCTGCTAGGGCACCCTGTTGCCGATTCCAGAAAAAAGCATGACAAAAATATTTCGTTGACCTCCTTGTTTAAAGACCTACCCAAACAAACTTATGACCTGTGACAACACCCTTTCCTATAAGTTTTATTCCATGCTCTTCTGAAGTGTGCATGCACACTCAGACACAAATATGGTCCAAGAAATGCTTCTGATTCCTCTAATAAGCATGTAGCACTGTCTCTTTGCTGGGATCACACTCACTGCACCTCCCTGCAGGTAAGCCCCAGCCTTATGATTCTGGCCACACAGGTTTCTCCAGCTCTGCAAATTCTGGGAATGTTTAAGGTTGGGCCACCCTGAACTTCTCACTCTATTCTGGCAAAAAAGTGTATCTTTTTAAAGTTTTTAGTTTGCAATAACATTCTTGTCTGCATGTCCACTGACATGTTTTTCTGGATCTAGAGTCAGCATGTGCTAATTCAGAATTAATGATCCACTGTATTTGAACTTGGCTTTTTCTATTTTGAAGTCAGCCAAATAGTGACCCTGGGACATGCTCTGCATTCCAGGTGAACACCTAACCAGGAAAGCAGATTGTTTACTGAGTGTGAATTTCCTTTTGATTGCCATCACTAGCCTGTGAGTGGTCTCCAGCTCGTGGAGTTTGCTGGCTTCAGTTCTTCCCTTTGCTCAAAGCAGAAGGAATTTGATTTTCTTGCAGTTACTATGAGTGAGAATATCAAAACAATTGGCGCTGAGGGGATAGAAAGGCAGAAACAGCCAGAACATGAAAAGGCTAAATATCTGGTAATTGAAATGAAAAAATAGAATTTGACATGCAGAATACCCACAAATGGCCTATTTCCACCACCCTTTACTCATGCCAGACAGTTATTTTTTTATTTTGATTTATTCACTCATCTCCTAAAAAGGAATATCTTGATGTCTTACTCTTTGCATGTTTTTGAAATGTAGGGATAAAAATAGACAAATACAGTAACTCCCTTGGCCAGGAATTGAATAGCCTAGAACCAGTTAAAAACATGCTTAAGATCTTGCTTATCTCCCTCTTCTGCCTTTCTTGCCTTCTACAGTAAAAAGGGGCAAACAAACTGGCCTTATTGCCAGTCGGAAGGTGGAAAACTACTTTTGTTTCAAATCAAAAGTGTGCCCCAAAGCCAATGTATCATGAAGAACCACCTTTTTAGCAGCCCACTCCATCTTATGAAGCAGTCTGATCCCAGCCATGCATGTGTAACAAGAGAAGAGAGAGGTCTTTGAGATATGTGAATCCCAGGCCACACTGATCACATACAGGGGGTCAAAACTAAAGTCGTAAGATCTGCTCAATGCAGAAGTCCTCGGGCCTTGCAGCAAAATGCTCTTGATTGATAGACACATTGGCACATTCTGCTCCAGGATCAGTTTTCAATCGGCTTTGAGAAGTAGCCGTGTGTGTTTCAGTCACTTCTGAGCTGAACCTTGATTAAGGTGATGCTTTCATAGACAGTTACATGCTGCTTCTAAAGTAAATTGCAGCTCAGGCTGAGGAAGACAACAGCTGATTTCAGGTCAGCAAAGTCCTTCTATGTGAAGTCCCAGTGAGTTCAAACACAGCAGAATGAGGTTAACAAAATGATGCCATATCTCAGGATGAGATATTCTTGCAACAAGTGGGACATGTCTGGATTAGACCGAGAATTCCGTTTCTGGATTGCAACCTAGGCTGAGAGTCTCCTTTTACAACTTAACTTCCATTTTGGATTATAATAGCTGATTTGTATTAGAGACTAACCCTCAGCCTTGCTGTGGGCAATAAAGAGGTTCAGAGCCATCATTTTAACTTCCTTTTAACTTCTAACAGCCTTTTAACTTCCCCTGCTCAAGCAAATCCTGCTAAAGCAATGAGTGTGGCAAGAGTGAGACCAGCACTGAGGTGAACTTTGTCTGGTATTGAGTGTGCATGTGTGTAAGGCTCTCCTTTCTATTGGGAGCAAACCCATGAGGATCATCGACAAGTGGCAGTTTTCACACAAAGAGGATGCACAGACCCAGAACTTGTGAACTGAGAAACATGGTTTAACGTCTTCTGTGCAGACTGTCGCACAGACTAAAACATTTGTGACTAAGCAGGAGTGAGAAAGACTATCTGATGGACGGTTTTCAAAAGCAGGCACGTATACCTAAGCATGCTGTTTCTGCTCTTTCACTATGAGGAATTTTCTATTCAACAAAGCATTTTATTTTCATTTTGCAAACAGAATATTTCTCAGTCGTTACAACATATTTTCTCTATCAAAATAAAAAAGTGTAGAAGGAGTGTGTTTTCTATCCTGCTATCCCCTTTTAAAACCTGACAGTTCTGTAGGATTTCAAACTTAATAAACTGAAGAACTCAGACTTTCATGCAAAATATTTCAATTAGCCTGCTGTAATAGATCAAAAAGATATATGCTCACCACACTTGAAGAGTTATTGAAAGGATTTCTTTTCTGGATGGAGAGTGGCTTGCATATGCCTGTATTTATTGTTCTAACATCTGTCCAATCCCTGGAATTGCTGCTTGTACAAATAACCTTTTCAGTTTTATATTTGAGACCCTGCTGTAGATGGTACTTATTTGATTTGTTGAAGTGCTTGGATTTTTTATGAATGGTTTTGTTTGTGGGTTTGGTGATTGTTGTTGTTGTTAAATATTTGCTTCTTCAGGACGGTGTTTCCAAAAGGAAAGAGCTCACTTGTACTCACTCACTTGAAAGGAAGCCATTCGGAGAATTTGGCATTCTTGCCCATTTCCCCACTGTTATGGAGTGATGTGGTTATCCACCTCAGTGGCTTGCTATGGTCTATCTCGTAAGACTCGTGCTCCCCGCATCACAGGACCCCCATTCTGCAACTATGCACTCTGGGTCTTAGCAAAATAGCACTGAGCATGGCAGCAAAGGGCTTGAAAACTCTGATAGCCCTGGCTGCTGCTAAGCTCTTGGGTCTTCAGGGTCCATGGCGCAGATATCCCAAGATTCCGGGGTTGCTGCCCTAAACAAAACTCGTGGGAGCCCTGGCAGGTCCTTCTGCCCGGCAGTTGTGGTTTTTGGACTCTCAGGATCCTTTCTGCATGACAGCAAATAAAACCTGCCACTTCAGCAGCTGCTTAGTTTGGATGAGTAGGGTGACTTGGAAATGGCACTGAAACACTACGAATAAATGTCATTCTCTTCTTTTTTGGCAGGTGACATGTTATACGTTAAACAGCAAGTGCCAGCTGAAAGTAAAGAGTAACACGTGCTACTGCTGTGACCTATACAACTGTGAGAAGTAAGTATTTGTGTGCAGTTAATGTCCTCTGAGAAATCCTTGGTTGTTTGTCTCTCCTTCTGAATGATGGGGCTTTGTTGCCTTTAGGCCAGCAGAAGTACCACACAACAGGCTGCCTGGCTATACACTGATAGGCACTTGCTGGGAAAGCAAAGAGCCTTTGAGTCACAGACTGTGGAGTGGCTATAAGAAGACCATTGCAGAGCCAGCAGATCTGCTTCCTGACTTGCTGTCAGTGCTGATCTGGGGAGGCAGTAGGTCCTGACACCATTTATTCTGCAAAATAGGTTTTTATATCTCACCTCTGCACTGCATGTGGATGCCTTCCCCAGACCCTGCCCGTTTCTCCTCCAGGGTTTGTATGCTGAGCGAAACAGTTCCATTGTGGATGGAGTCCTGAAATCAATGGAGAAGAGCTCAGAGGTTACGTGTTAGTGTTGTCGTTATTTCAGTTTCTTTTTTCTTTAAAATATATCCACAAGCTCTTTGCTGTGTGATTAAAATTGACCACTCAGTCTTAGCCCCATCCAGATTTGCTGTTGTTTAGGTAATGCAATTTTGCCATTAGGTTTAATTAATCCATTTTATTTCTACCGAACTGGGATGTTGTGGGAAACAAAATAAATAGGAACATAGGTGACCATGAGTAGAGATTATGTTGTAGACAAATGCAGAACTCTTTTGTTAGCATCAGCCTCTGTCTGACTAGGATTTTACTAAATTGCCATCGGATAGATACAGGGGGGCCTTGTGAACGTTTCCTAAAGCTTTCCATTTGACTTCATCATTACAAAGCATGCGATGAGGGAGGGTAACAAGGGCGGAATTGTCTGGATATGCTTTTGAAGGTCAGCTGAAAGGTTAGCACAGTGTTGCCATGCAGCAATTTAACAGGAATAAAAGGGTAGTTAAGAAAACCACATCACAGCCAAGCCCAAGGGTTGATAATGTGGAAGACATACAAAATGAGCTCACAGAACTGACTGTACACCTGGCATATACAGAATCCAACTGCAAGCAGCGTCATGTCTTGGTACAGATAAGAAGCTGAGAAGAATTTCCCAGAGCAAAGCTTCTGCCCAACTTGCTCTCTGCACACCTCACTTTCACCTCATCATGCACTCTCATACAACCTCTATAACTCTCTACAGTTCACTCACATCCCCTCTTCTTTCTTTCCCTCTGTTTTCCCTTTTTTTTCCTTCCTACCAATTCTAGGTGTTTTTGTTTTGTTTTCTCCTCCTTCTCACATGCCAGCAGCTTTGAATGACCTAGACCTCTGTAAGCTTTGGCTAGTATGCTGCCAGACATAAAAATGTAGGTTTAGGAGAATTAGGCTGGCATAGTGAGGTAAATACATGCAGCTTCTGTGTAGAAGAGTAGATCTTGCCCAGATCCTCTTTATACTAAAGTGAACTTTGGGACTAGAGGGAAGACATCTATGTACATATATTTCTCATGCACACAGACACGAAGCGAGGGCAGGTATATGGAATGGATTAAAATCCCATAATAATGTCAGTCTTTTGCTAGTGTAAGAGGTGTTATATCTGGACACGATGGAGGTATGCAAAACAAATGACATGGGAAAGGTAAATACCTGCATCTTGGTACCTTTTCTATGACAGACAAATGAAGGGGCATCTTAATTGCGAGGCAGTACCTTTACACGGAGAACACTTTCTTCTGTAGTACACAATTAACAGCTGCAAGTTAACACTGAATTGAACAGCTCGGCTCAATGCAGAAAAGAATAGACTTCTGCAGGGAAGGGAATGAAAGCATCCAGAGTTAGCAAAGTGACTGAAACTCTGTTGCTTAAAGCATACGGTAATAACAAGAAGAGATCAGGAAGAAACTCCCTCTTCCTGTCCCTAGTGCTGTTTTTCTGAGACAGGCGTTTCATCTGGGACTGATCACTGCTGTGACAGCATTTAGTGATATAATTAAATATATGTATTTTGCCAGTGTGAGGAATCCACAGTGAAGAGCAAGATTGTATGGGACTGGCATGGACAAATCCAAAATAAAGAAGCAGTCTTTCTGCCCTCCAGGCTTGGCAATTTCAGTACATACGATGGCCAAAGAGAAGAAGGAGGAGACACAGTCACGTGAAGTGAGTTGGTGCCAGCCATACAACAGACCCGTGCACAGTCAGGATCGGAAGTCAGAATTCATCAGCCTGATGGCAGCTGAAGCTACAAGTTTATTTAGTCAAGCAACATCTGGGCTCCTATAGTAGGGCCCAAGTGAATCCAACAATAGCTAAACCACAGTGCCAGAACCATGCCCCACAGCAAAGTGACGTGACATTTCCAGAAATTATTGTGCTTGGCTTGGTTCTTCTCAGAAGCCTTCTGGGTTTCTCCATGCTGCCTTTCTCTGAAGAGATTTCCCTACCCACCATCTCCACTACTGCCCCATATCCTGGGGGGAAGGGGAACAGAAGATTTCACAATATGCTCACTCTGCTTTCCAATGTGATCTGATGGCAATTTCCTACCAGCTGCAAAAACAGAGTTGGTGTGTAAAAAAATCTTTCCATCTTAAATAGCTGCTGTAGGAGCTCAGTAGTAGGCCAGCATTAAGGAAGATACTGGGAAGAAGTGCAGGAAACTGTGTTTTCAAATTTTGCAGGAGGATGTTTCACAGTTTCAGCAAGATGAGGATGGACTTCACAGCATGCCTGATTTGCAATAAACATTGCATTATTTACAATAACCAGTGTAGAAATATAAACAAAGGTTTCTTCTGGATAGTACAATCCATAGTTTAAAGGCACGTCATTATGCTGTTCATTAATACTGTACTCCGTGGCATCTGTTAATTTCAAACCACAGACACCACAAACAAATGTAGCCAGCTGGCAAAATCTCCTTTCCTTTGGTAGCATTAATGCTTAAGCAGCTTGCCTTCCCTGTCATTAGAGATGGCAGCAGATTTCCAGGTGAACTGTGAAAAAAGCTGCCCTAAGCATGTTTCCACTGGTAGCTGCTCTCTAGTGCATACAATGGCAAGGGCAGCATCCATTTATTAGGACTACGTCTGTGGTCAGAGACCCTTAGCAAAAGAAAGAATCCCTGCTTGTGCCAACACTGATCAGGCAAACTGTTGGTATTGCTGAGACTAATGCTGGCATCAGCTGAGCCAGTTTTTATCTACAGTGACTTTGTCTGGTTCATCTGAGCAGTATTTGCACCTGTAAATGGGAGTGTGGATCAAGTACTTCACCAAAGAAGAAAGTAAGCAGGAGGGATTCAGGTCCTCTGGTGCTCTATATAATGTGCAAAATAATTCCCACAGTAATTATGTTGTTTCCATTCCCTTTCAGTTCAGAGCAGTCCTCCAGCTACTATGAATTTCTCGGAGTGAGCAGCTGTCAAGATGTGGTTCACCTGTATAGGCTGCTGTGGTCCTCCACAGTCCTGAATATTATTGGGTTGTTTCTGGGGATTATTACGGCAGCCATTCTTGGGGCATTTAAAGACATGGTAAGGCTCACAGTTTTGCCTTCTGTGATGACTTCTGTGCTTACTGGTATTATCAAATGGGTTACGAACAAAGGAAGCACAAGTGTACAAAGGAAGCACTTTAAATATATTTCTTGCGTGATCTCGGAGTCTGGAGTCACAGCTTTAGGCTGATCCATTGCCAGCTGCTCACAGCTAAGTAGGTCAGGTCTGGTCAATACATGAATGGATGGGAAAAAGCAGATGTCTGTATGAACTCATGCTAGTGAATCACTTAGTAGCATTTTTTTTTCTTTTTCTAATTCAGCAGTGAACATGTGGGCTAGCACAGAGCTGGAGGATGCTAGTGTATAGATAGCATGTAAAACTCAAGTCCTTGCTGTGATTATTGAAGCTTATGTAGTTCTTTTCCCAAGAACAGGGATTAACTCTGATGTACCAGTCAAGTTTTTATTTAAAGAGTTGCATTCAGGTCACATTAATCTTCTCTGTTGTTTCACTAAGAACTGCCATTCCTCACTACTTCCTATGTCACACCACTATTTTGTGCTGATAGGCACTTCTGCATTCAGAGGAGACTGCATGCTAGGAGAGGTAGTGTGATTTTGTAATATATTGCCTTATATGTCTAGATTTTTCTGACATGTAAGAAGTGTGAAATACCTATTCCTAGTATATCACTGTCGTTGGTCATGCTTACTACAGCAGTGCCTAAAGATTGACCAAGCAGCTCCGATTTTTCTGAGCACACAGGGCAGTAGACGTTCCCTGCCCCGAAGAGCTTCCAATCTAAATGGGCAGAGGGGTGGGGACAGGGGTGAAATGCCTGAGCGGAAGGGAGCTGTGATAGCATCGAATGCCTCATTAGTTTCATGACATTTTTGGTGGCTATTCAGGAGGAGATTAACTAAATAGAAGGAAAAGTGAAAGGAAAAAGAGAGGGATGGAGCCACGAAGAGAAAGTAAGAGCGCCAAGTGTGATTTGCAGTGAGGGGAACAGACTATGGGGCTGCTCAGAGCTGGGAGCCAGTAAGCCAAGGACCCAAGAACCAGAGGGCATCCAGGCCCTGCTCTGTCTGCCCAGTGTCTCTGTGTTGGCCCCTTTTTCTCCAGACAGACAGTAGTGCCCATTTCACCTCTTTCCTACGTTGCTGGAGCATCACCTGCAAAAAGTGACAGAAGGGCTTAATGCTCTAGGGAGATCCATCCTTGATAAACAAACAAAAAAAAATCTTCCTGTAGCAGCAGCAGGTTACTGCTCCATGCTGGTGCAGTAATGCCTGATGTTGCCCCCTCTATCAATCCTCAGGTAGCAGGAGAAGCTGAGGCAGCCCTGGAAAGCTTGCGAGCTTGCACCTCAAGGGCCAGCCAGGGCACAGGGAAGACATCTGTCTAGGATGTTCTGCAGCCGTATCACATGGAGTACAAGTTAACTAGGAGCTCAGGAGCAGTAGCAACTGAATCTCCTTGGCCTGGACGTTGTGATTGCTCCCCTTTCGTTGCTGTGCCGTAGTTAATACCTGTGCTTCCCTATCTGTAGGCCAAATCCTTCCCTTCTTTGATCTATGGATGACAGAGAAGACTGAGAGGAAAGAGACAGGATGGGGTAATGTTGCACGCTACCTGCAGCCTTGTACCCAGCTGGCAAATGTCAGGAAGCTTCCTCAGGCGGTTTTGGGCCCTGCTGTACTTCTGTCAGAGGCCTGGCAGAGCACCTCCTGGCTGGGCACTGGCTACAGCCAAACTGCTGGGCCTTGGAGCCAGGAATAGCTAACCTGCAAACATGCAGCTGCACAGAGCTAAAGCACAGCACTCATCTGGTCACCTTGGCTTGGTGGCTTTTGTTAAGATCTTACATGGTGCCAGATATTTAAAAAAACCTCACTTGTGTGGATACAGATGGTTGGTCTAATCAGTGGTGAAGCCTAGGAGAGCTTCCCCCAGAGTGTCCTTGGGATGACAGCTTACAAGGGAGCTTACAGAGGCTTACCGGAAAAGAGAGGCGTGAGCAGCAGCTGATAGCAAAAGGCCGGGAAGCATGCTGGGAAGAAACATTGGTATTCCTATGTAAAGCATATCCCCTTTCTTATATGCAACCAATCTTGAGTGTTTCCCTTAGCAAGCATGTCCAGGGCTCTTAAAAATGACATCTTAGAACAGGGCCATGTGAATTATCTGAAATTTGCCTTTAAGAGTTGCAAAACATCTGCTGGAAACTTGCCTTTCTCTAGCACCAGGCAAACAACCACACTGAGTCCCCACGTGTTAAAAATGTGCAGCTGACCCGTCCGTTATGCCTAACTGCAAGAGGACTGTTGCAAGGGGTTGATGGCAAACTGCGGCCGGCTAGTAATGAACAGCGGTGGCTGTTTGACAGGAGGGATTGGAAGCAGCTTTCCCAGCTTAATCCATCACCTCCCTCTAAGATGAGTAATAGCAGAAGGGGAAGAGAAACAACTACAGTGGGAAAAGAGAGGAAGAGTAACAACAAGAGGAGGGGAAGACAGCTATCATCTACAAGTCTTGGACTGAACCATGAAGCTTTCCAGTGTTGCTATGTATTTTTTCCCCTTTTGCCTTTTTTTATTCTTCTCTTCTTCAGCTTTAAGGCCATCAAAATGTTGTTTATTCTGTGTCCCTGAGGTTTGGGTCCCCTAGAGTAGGGGCCAAGCTTTAATTAGATAAGAAAAAAGGAAAGCAAAGGTTTGGTTTAGAGCAGTGTCCTGCCCTGGCACTATCCCCTTCAGTCTCTAAGGCCTTGTGCAGGCAGGTACAAAGAAGCTTTCTGAGTGCTCCCTCTTGCAGGGGGACCCTGGGCCACGGCAGACTAGTGCGACTGCTTCTGCTAAGGGCTGCTGCAGGAATTGCTAGTGCTTCCCTGAGATGTGGACTGGAGGGGTGCAGAGAGCCAGCTTGAAATCCATGTAATGTCTCACATAAACCGAGGCTTAAATGGGATTTGGGCTGATGCTTCATAGCAGGGTGAGCTCCAACCCAAGCAAATCTCTGTGCTGCTAGGGGGATATCATTGCGCTGCTTGCGGCGGGTGCCAAGCTGTGGAGACATTCCTGGGAGAACTGGGGTTTCTGTGACCTGGCATGTTCCCCGTGCTGGAAGGCAGCCCCTGGTTTGAGCTCTGAGCCCTGCGACCAGGCAGCAAAAAGCCACACAAGGGAGAAGGCAGCAACAGTGACCGTGCAGCTTCCCTGCAGACGCTGTTCTGGAGCAAGTCTGTGAAGGCTCCAACTAAAAACCTGATCTAAATAAGCTGTTTAATGTCTCCTTTGCAGCGGGAGTGGAAAAAAAACCCTCACTAACTTAAGGAGAAAGATGAGTTTGTGTCAATTACCTCAGCACAGGAACCATGCTATGTTTGTGAGAGTGTTGCTAAAGAAGCAATCCAAAATGAAATGACTCTTCCTTGCTCCGGCTTGTGCTTTTTCAGGGTCCTTCTGAGTTACCTACCATAACTGGTTTGCTGAGCTGCTATTTTCTTTCATTATGAAAGGCATAATTCTTGGGAGAAGTGAGGGACCAAGAAAACATCAAATAGAAGAGGGGGAGAAAGTGGCATGGGACTGAAATAAGAAAAGCATTAGAAATGTGTGAGAGAACAGTTCTCTCTCTTTCAGGATGTTACCTTCCCACAGAAATGCCCACTGGTGTTTTCCACAGAGAGCTCTAAAACTGGCTGAAATGCCTCAGGGCATTGCTCTAAGGTTGACTTCCAGAAAAGACAGGGCTAGGCTGACTAGTTAAAGAAAAAAACATCATGTTTATCTCTGGGGAATTCTGGCTGCCAAAACGTGTTACAAAGGCAGGAGTTTGCAAAACAGTGCAATTGCCTCTAAACCCATCATATTTCCTGGACAAAAAAAAAAAAAAAAAAAAGGACAATGCAGTCTTCCTTAGCTAATGAGAAATATTACTGCTGCAAGAGACTGAAGAAACATGCTCTCGTGTTGTTTTGGTGCCTGTGGGTTTTCTTTCTTGTGACAAATTCCCTCCAGACCCTGGCATGCCCCCCATGTTTTGCTTCATGCCAGAGAGCCCTGCTGGCTCAGGGGGAATCACTTGGTCTCTCCTCACCCCTGAGGTGCCTGGTGTCATCTGCAGGGGCTCTCCCCTGTGACTGGCTGGTGCAAGGGGAGCTAGAGCTGTTCTTAGGGTATGATCGTATCCTTGTATTCAGATCTGCCATGTGCTGGGCTACAGAACACTGGCTAGACAGTTACCTTAAAATCCCCTTTAACAAACAGCAGGTTAAGAGATAATGCAAATCGAAGTACATACTTACAGTGTCCAAAACGGCCAAACACCATGGTCATTTCTTTTGCAAGACAGAGGTAAAGGAATGAATGAAGAACTTTGCTTGCTAGTACTAAGAGTGAATTTAGGAGGTCTCATCCATGCTGCCAGTACTTATTTGTTGACTTGTTGATGTTTTCCTGACATACCTCACCGAGGAATCTGCCTGACCTGTGTTTAGGGTTGCATTAATCAGAAAGACCTCTGGTCTGGGTGGAGTATGCCAGCTTTTTTTTTCAAACTCCTTAGACTTCTCAAGAGAATCTAGACAGATTAAATATCATTCTCTTTTCTCTTCCCTTCTTTCCCCACCCTGCTCAAAAAAAAAAAAAAAACTGCAAAGCAAACCCCGAACTACGTAGCTACTTTCCATATATTCATGTCTTAGCATTCCTGTAACTAAAGGTGCAATCTGATGTTATAAATAATCCTAGCTCAAAAATACATGTTTTGGCAGTTCTCTGTGAGATCAGCAAGCTGAACTGCCTCATTCTGCCACCGCACAACTGCAGCACGTAGGGAGCCGTGGTGTGCGTGGCTGGATGCAAGGGAGGCCACATGCTGCAGCCCTGCTTTCCCCACTGGCTGTCCCGTGGAGCTGCTCTGGAGATGAGCGCTGTCGCCTCTCTTTTGAGATGCCCAAGTGGCACTGCCAGCGCTGGACTGGCCAGTTAATAGGTCCTTACTGCTCTGACTTGGGTGCCTGTTTCTGTTTAAAATATCTCTACCTTGTATTTCATGTGACTCATTTAACACAGAATACTTAATATTAGCATCTAACTGGCTTAAATACCCACAAATCAGACCTGTGAATCATTACTGGCTCCTGGCAGAGACCAGATGGCCTTGGACAATGAGGTGCTTTGATCAGTGGATTTGGGATGGGCGACTCCCCAAACCTGTCTGCTAGGACTGTTGTGATGTTTGTCCTTAGCGATTGGAGAATATGGCTGCTGTTGGTGGAGAGGATGTGAAAGGATTTAAAGGGATTCTTGGGGTTGAGACAGAGACGCCTAAGATGACCGACAGCAGAACAGCAGTGACCAGTTCAGAACAGACATCTGTGTTTCATGTTGTGCAAAAAGAGTGTTTCTTGCTTTGCTTATGTCTGTAGCCAGATGGATCTGATAGCGAAAGTCTCCTCTGAGGAAGGGCATGTGCTGGACCCTGATCCAGCCCTCATCAGGGTGAGCCACATTTAGGCTTGTATAGCTGCTGGATTGAAACCTTTGGATCTGAGGCAATCTCATTAGCTCGCTACTGCTCTCTGCAAGGAAGTTTCTCTCTGTTCCTCCCCATTGTATGCACCCAGCAGGGCAGGGAGACCGGAAGCGTTTTGAGGAGGGTACCTTGAAGATGAGAGATGAGATGCCTTCTACTATGAAATAGGTTTCTACTTTTGGGGTAAGCTTTTCTCTGTGCCAGTTCCTAGGATGCCAAGTTTCTCTGTAGAGCTCAGGCCTAGATTGTCAGATACCCTCTGCTTGCACACCAGTGACCTCAAATATGTTTTCTATGTGCGGACACAATTAATACACCCCTTACTCGACCACAGTGTGCATCCCATCTCTGAAGGGTGCAGTGGTTCTTGTCTCTCTCTGATAAATCTGAAAGGAAACGCCAACAAAATCCTGGCCGCTTCTTTCAGTATTTGTCTTACAACCACCATGTTTTATTATTCCAGTAAAAAAGCAAATTCTGTGCTCTCGTATACAGGATTCTGCTAATAAAAACAAAGGAGAGAAAAGAAAGCGTTGACATTCTCTTGATTTGCAAAGCAGAAGGCCCTGAAAATCTTTCACCCAGCTCCACTGTCCTTCACAAACGGTTACATAGCACGGGCTTTTAGGGGCACATCCAGGTTTTTATTCTGTTTGTTTTGTTTCCCCACTTGTATCAGTTGATGTAATATGAGCTGTTACTTCTTTCTGCAAACTTTACCTCACATTACGGTTAAGGGACGTGCCAGTAGAGCCACAGGATATGCAAGGAGTCAATTCAACTCTCATGGAAATGAGAATCCATCCCTCCTTGATTTCACACAGTAGGAATAAGATATGCATATGGAGGGAGGGCCAGCAGGAAAATCCACTTTGCAGGGGAGAGTCTGTGAAAGAGTGAGTGCTCTGAAGGGGGAGGAGGTCCTTCTAGCTCTGTGTAGGAAAGCAGAGGAAGACACAGGGGCATCAGCTAGTTGCTAATGCAAAGAGACTGCAGCAAAATGTGAAGGACTGAGGTGTTTGGTGTTCAAGTGGAAGAAGAGGCAGTCAAAGCCGTATGCTCTGCTCTTCAGGGTATCTCTGTTCTGGAGTCCCGCCAGTGCTTCTGTAACTGATGCTAGGGAAGCACCAGCAGTCTTTTACCAAGGGAAGAAGATTAAAATAGCTCTGTAATTCTGGTCAGAAAGTTCACTCAAGATACGCTCTCCTCTCATTCTGTCTGCTACTTGCTTTTTGTAGTATTGGTATTATGTCGGAAAATAGAAAGCTGCTAAACTGTCAAGTCAGTTGTATTAGAACCAGTTTCTGCTTCAGCCCTTGCTACACTGTGCTCATATATTGTTGCCTTTTGTGTTCAACAGGTACCGCTGTCCCAAATTGCTTTCAGTGCTGCACCTCCTCCTCAGATCCTGTACAACCCTGCCCAGCAGATCCTGACATACGCTGGGTTTTGTCCTTCTGCAGCAACTATTTCTACGTATCCGTCCTACCCGTTACCTCTTCAGGTATAGTAAAGTGGCACCCTTCTTACTTCCATTAGAAAACCATGAGCTGCTCCTCACTATGAGGGCAGGGTCATACACGATTTGGCAGAAAAGTTTATACACCTTACTCTTTATATGGAAAGACACAAACAGATTAACACAAGGAAGAGGAGGAAATAAGGGGTCTATGAAGTCATGAGTGATATGGACAGGAGTAATATCCTGTGGCTGGATATTACTGATGATTTCTCATTGCACAAAATTTTGATGGCCCCAGTAAAGCTACAAGGTGGCAAGATAAGGCAGAAATAGGAAGGGCTTTTTACACACCAAAGAAGATTTGAATGTGACAAGATGTTGTGGAAGTGTATAAATGAGGGTTGGAGACTTAGTCCATCAGTGGCAGGTGTTACCTGCAGCCCGGGAGGTCTCCAGATGGCTGCCTGCTACAGGTACCAACAGGGGCTCAACGGAAGATAGAGCCCTTCTTCTTTTAGTCTTCCCCTAGGCATCTCTTACTGACTACTGCTGAGACACAGGTACAGAGCTGTGGCAGCTGATGGAGTTTGCTCAGCCTTACAGTTGAGGCTGGCCTGAAGGCAGGATGGAAATTTGCCAGATTTACATTTCTCTCCCTTTGTGGGAGGGCATGTAACATGAGTCAACTCTGCTGTGCCTCCTTCAGAAAGATAAAGCGCAAGCTGTACTCTGAGCTTGCACTGACTCCAGCTGGACTGGAAAGTGCAATGAGTGGTGTTGAGGATGGCGTTAGCGTTCTTCGCCCCAGTAGCCTGTGTTGATGGGGGAACACACAAAGGTGACAAAAGGGCTCTCGTCCTTCCTTTGCCAGAGGGGTTCAAACTACCATCTCCTGTTCCTATTGCAGCAGAGTCTGGAATAGCTCCAGTGGAGAAAGCACCATTCCCACCATCAGTGTCATTGGAGCTATGTTACACTGGTGACACCACATGCTAAGACTCTGCAATCTCTGTGCCAGGGTACTTGTCTGGGAGGGGGGTGACCCAGGGACTGTTTTCAATGTTAATCACAGAAAATATAGGGATAGCCCAGGCAGGAGGGACCTGCCTATGTAGGAGGAAGACTGTGTTCAACTCTACCTCTTCGTCTACAAGAACAGGGTTCCTCATATGGTTTCTCTTCCTGGCCTTTTTGCATTCGTTTCTGCACTGTGATGCACTGCAAGAGGCAAGAGAAAGAGATTTGCCAGACCTGCATCCAGCCTTGCCAGACAGTAGGGCAGTCTCCCGGTGGGTGGGTTTGTAATCCTTTGGACTGAGGCAGAGCACAAACACAGACAAGTGCTCTAACCTGCAGGGCCAGAACCGCTACCACCCCCAACTCATTACCTGCTCTGTCACTTGAACCTTTGTTCACCTAGCTCTCCCCCTGCACAATATTTAGATGTCTGTACCTAATCAGAGTCTGGATTCTGCACCAGGGGCTGGCACACATGTTCTGCAGGCCTGAGCTGGTCATTGTATCTAGGGATCCTCTTCCCTCCCTCACCCAGCTAGAAGGCCAACAGTGTTCCTGTGCCATGCCAGGGCGTTGTGCCTGGCACAGGTGACATCAGTCACCTCCATGACTATGTTTGGCTGGTGCAACAACCAGCGGACAAATTGAAGTGAAGAGCATAGGGATGAGGTACAAATAACTAAATACACTGAAACTCTAGAGCAATCATAGGAGTTCTCAGATTTTTAAAGCACAGTAAGGATGTTTAAGTCAACCCAATGACTTGTTCCTCTTTGACTATGTAGTGCTAGACTAATGGGTACTGCATGTTTTATAATACTTTTTAACTGAAAACACTGCACATTTAACGTGGACTATCTGTGGACCACCGACCCACATCTGTATCTGGACTACATCTATCTAGGTAAATAACTGATGAGCTCGAGCACTGGGATATGACCGTCCACACTAGGGGATTGTTAGCACATGCCTGGTATGGGTTTGGCCCAGACCATCTAACAGTCTCCCAGCAACACCCAGGTCAGGAGACAGCAAGGGCGATGGACCATTCCCAATAGGTCATTTGCGTACAGTCACACTGGCTTGGTGGCAAGAGCTCAGCTGTAGGGAATTGGTACGTGCTGTGCCAGCTGGCCTCACGGCCAGAGAACAGCCCTTGGCACATCTTATTTATTAATAGAAATGGGGCCAGGCACTTTTGGAGAACACTGGTTGAGGGGAGAAAAGGGTACACTCAGGGATTTTTTTTGTTTACTTTTAGCTGAAAAGCTGTGCTGTTCTACAGAGGTCAGTTAGCACGTAGCCAAGAGTAGTAAGAAAAGAGGCTAAAAACAGAGGAAAGAAAGAATTAAGCTGAAGAGATGCACGTAAGTAATCATAAGGATCAATTGTAACTGTTCAGTCCTGCATCCAGTGAGAAACAGAAATACCTCATTACATTCACCCTAAATTCTTAACTCCATTCCAAAATAAACTCAGGTCTTTTTCTAGATTTTTACTTTTTCCAAGAAGTGCGTTCCTTTATCTTCTCTTCTTCATAACAGTCAGAGGAAGACATCACCGGCTGTCTCCAAGCCAGGAGAGGTTAGCAAGAAGCACTGGGTTCCAAAAGGGAAAGCTCTTAATCCTTTTCCTTGAGAAAGAAAGAAAGAAAGATAGCCAAAAAAAAGAAAAAAAAAAGAAAGAAAACAACCTTCCTGCATGAGCTAATTATGTTGTATTTCAGAGAGAAATCATTACTGCATCAGTATAATGGAATAGTTATATGAGTAGGAAAAAAACCCCAAACTCATAAAATTTACATTCACTCATTCGTAATTTTAAGTAAGAAGCATGCCTGATTTGAACCAGCCAGATCCTTAAATGTCATCCACTTCTTTTTACTTGAGAGCTGTGGACTGAATCACAGGGCTGGAGGCTTTCATAACCCACCGATTTGCTCCAAGCAGTGCCCAACTGCAGAACGTAGGCCTTCACAACCCCTGCTCAGCTGTTCCTGATCCGTAAGGCAACTGCAGGCTTTAAGGTCTGGGATTCACCTGGCTAAATATAAATGCTGGCTAAGTGTAAATGCTCTTGGCATTTAGGTATCTAGTGCTGTGTTACATGACATCTGGTCACACCTGGCCCCTGCTGCTGCCATGGGAGAGCCCAGGTCCTGCATCCCCTGTGTTACATCTGTGTGGGTGCCTGGGATACCCCAGAGCATCCCAAAAGGACTAGACACTTCAACATGGGCAACTGAATGGTGCTCTAGCTGGCTGCAGTGTAGGTGTCTCCACCTGAGCTGGTCTGCCCTTCAAGTTAAGAGAGAGGGAGAGGGAGAGGGAGAGGGAGAGGGAGAGGGGGAGGTGGGGGGGGAGAGAGAGAGAGAGAGAGAGATAGCTAGGCACTTCTCACACATGGATAAACTTGGCCTAAAGAAGATCTATGAAGTGAGTAACATAGCCGAGCTCCAAAAGGCCTGTCCACTGACTAGGGGTGGGATTCAGTTCCTACATGTCACTATGCTGTAAGCTTAAATATCTATGCTATTAAGCCCTTAATTAAGACATCAAAATCTGAAGCTGAACCCTATCCTGGAATGCAATTCAGTTGCCAAAAGATGGGGCATATGAGATGGCCTCATGTTTCCAGGACATCCACACAGTGCGCAAGGGCTACAACAGACTGACGCATACCCCTTGTCATGGAGGTCTGGCAGGGCACTCTCGGGTACCTCAAAAGCATAAAGTGTTTGTTACCAGGTAGGCCGAGAGACACCTGTGCCTTGGCAGTGCTGAGTCACTTAAAACCTCTGTGGTCCCCAGAGGTGTGCCAGAGCCTCAGCTCCTGGGGCACTCTCAGAACAGCTCTTCCGGCACAGGCCTTGCACAGGCAGAGGTGGTGCTGCGTGTACTGTTGGCCAGCCTCGGCACACAACACCAGGAGCACGGCAATGCGCACCATGTGCGTGTGAAGCCCAGGTGGAGGCTGGCCTCTCACCTTCAGGCCTCATCCCTTTTCTAGTGCTCTTCCTAGCTGTACAGCAAAACGGGCCCTAAGACACACCTCTCTCTCTGGCCAGCGTTCCCTTGGGCCAGTAAAGGGCCTTAGTTGCTCCTCCCAGGAACGTATCCCACCCCTCAGGCCTGCGTTAGTCTGGCATGTAGCACTCCCAGTATACACACTGCCCCAAGTTGCATTAGCTCTGTATGAACCTGAGCGCTCCCACCACAAACCAGACTGGTTCCTGGTCCCCTGATGACTCCAGTATCTCACCAAATAACTGTTTTCTGGAAAGGGGCAAAGAAAACCTTTAAAAAAAAAAAAACACATACTGAGCTGCTGTTACGAGCACCTTAGTTTAATTCAGACATCCTTGTACACAAGCAAAAATCAAAAAAAAATGCAAACAAAGAAAAAGGTGGCAGCGGAAATTCCTTTTGACAAAAATGTAAGCCAGCGATTCTTTTATTTACTGTGGCATGTGCTAACACAACTGCTTATCCTTTACTGGTACAGTTCAGTTGCAACTAGTCTTGGTAAGGCGACTGCCAACTGGCCAGGTAAATGAATAGCTGTGCAGGGGCTGCTGGTGATGACATCAGTAAAGGTTGTGCCAGTCCTTCCTGCCAAAGAGGAACACATTACAGAGGCAAATCCAGGCAGCCAGATGGAAATGGTGGCTGCAGTTTGCCGGGGCGAGGGAGGGTAGGGATGTAACAACCACTAAACCCCCAAGCCCCAGCAGCTACTCTTAGAGCTGATCTACCTAGCAAGTCCGTAAGAATACCTGCACTGCTTCTGGGAGAGTTAAAGGGCCTGAACAACCTTCCTGTCACAAAGTCTCCGGTCTCACACCGTAACCCTGCAGTCAGTCACTCTGCGGCACAAACGCAGGACAACGGTCTCTTCTCTGTGGGGGTTTGACTCCCGGGGCTGTGCCCTGCTAACCCAGAGGCCCATGGAGAAGCAAGGCACCACGGCATGGGGAACGTCGGCCCTGAGAGGCCACACAGCAAGTACCAGCCTTGGTACTCGCGCTGTAGATAAGGACTGCCTTTTTTTTTTTTTTTTCTGCATGGTAAGTACCCAAGACAGCCCTGTTTACTTGCCTGGATTTTTCCTTTCCCTTGACATAGATCCATGATTACTATTCTTTGTTTTCTTTAAATTCCAGGCGCTTTAGGCCTGAACCTGAGGGAAGCTGAGCACACAACTCTTCTGATGAAGCGCATGGACTGGCATGTGTTGGCATACGAGGGGGGGGAGTGAAATCCTGGCCCTCTGAAATCCATAGCAAAACTTGCTTTAAAGTAGTGGTGGGATTTTATCCAGAACATTAGTCCCTAGATTCATCCTTTTGTTTTTAACAAATTGTGCTTGTTACTGAGCATGGGCCGCTTCTTAAGGTCTACCTATTTTTTATGCCTCTTTTAGCCAAACCCCATTATAACTGAGACAGCTAAAGTGAAAGACTTACAGGGGGACACATGCCTACATATAAAATTTTCTCTTAAGAGAAGTCTGCATTTGGCACAGCAGTAAGACCTTGCATTTATGCAAGTACTGTAACCCTGAGATAATTTAAGCGTCACAGGGATGCCTGGAAACTAGCAGCTACACATAACTTAATCAGCCAGGCAGGTACAGTGAGTCACCTGGGAAGCCAGAGTATCCTTTGTTGCAGAAATTCCTCTTCTGTTCTATTGCCTAGCTGTATGCACAATGCCTATTAAAAATTACTTGGCTACAGATGTAATCTGTCTTGTTTCACTACGCACTGTAACTGCTATACTTAAGCACATGCTTTATACTCCAGTGTTGTGCTGCAATGCATGAGAAATTTAACTGTCATCAGGCTTATTATATAATATGTACACGGTACACACTTATCTCAGAGCTGCAAATGGGGTTGTAATCCTTTATTGAAGAAGGTATTTTTCTTTGTCTATATACAGCCTGCCAGCAATTTTCCAGGAACATCATCTACTGACATTTCTTTATCAGAAGAAACTCAGCCTCCATCTCAGTCCAGCTCCAGCTACGGTCTTCCCCCCAATGCTCCACCTCTCTATGCACCGAATTACTTCTTGCCTGGAGAAAAGCCTCCACCGTATGCACCATAGAACAAAGGATTTATTTTAAGTAGTCGGTAGGCTCTTTTTAAGTTTTGGAAACTCTATGCAGTGCAGGCACTAGACTAATCAAGGATCCCACTGCAGAGTGTGCTATGGTCACTCTGCTTTAACCCACCTACATCTCACTGTGAGCTGAGAGAATCCTGGAAATGCAAGGGCAGGTACATCACTGTTGGGGTTACTACTCACCACTCACTTTGCCTGCAGTCAACTACAGTATTGTGTTCTGGCTAACATGAGCATGAGTTTTTTCCTTCTCCATATACTGCAGAGCGACTTTTCTTCATGACGAGAAAGGAAGAAAACACTCTGGATATGTGTTCTGCTTTCATAAGCCAATAGAGAGGGGTTTTAGTCTGTGTTGTCTAAGTAGGTAGTTTGGAGCGCTGAGTCAATCACTCTGGATAGGAAGAAATTAGATGTTTGTTTCCTTGCAGTATTTATTAAATAACTCTTTTTCGGTGAAAGTGTTGTACCAATAATAAAAAAAAAAAGTGTGGTAACTATTTTACAATAAAATTTGCTGTGTATATTTGTATTGTACCTAAGGCTCTGTATGTTTATAAAGACAGGAAAACTGAAGAGGAAAAGTATCCTACCAAGTATTTCTCTTTTTCAGGTTCCAAACACAAAGGTTAATTTTATTGGGACTATTTTATCTGAATTGCGTCACACCAGTGTGCTAAACATGCAATTTCCAGACAGGGATTTAATCTATACCTTTTAGTGCTGGAATTTATTCCTGTCCAGTCAAAAGAGAACCACAACCAAAACCACTGCATGTTGGCCCCAGTTATTTATTTAAACTGATCAAGACCTGGTTCAGTAATTTCACAACCACTGAAACAGAACTGATTAGTGATCAGAATTCTTTTTCACATATTTTTCATTTTCTCCTATTATTGAGAGTTAAAAATATTTTGACAAGGCTAAGCAGAAACACCTTAAACAGTACCATCTACAGGAAGGAAGTCTTGTCTCTGTCATGCCATCCTTGTCTTGCATCACATTAGCAGACATCCCTCTTAGCATGGGGTTGTCATATTTTGTGGCAGGAGTGGCTAAACAAGGATGAAAACCTATCAGATCACTGCATCCCTTCACTACTTTCTGCTCCTGGAGGAAGGGTGGTGCTGCTTGCTCTATACATCGCACAGTCTAGACAGCAATGAAGGTACAGAAATTTCCTCAAAGGCCAAAGAGCAAAACAGCAAAAGGAACATACTTCTCATTAACTTTTTAAGCAGCTGCTTCATATTATGGGGAAAAAAAAACCCTATATAAACAAAACCAACCTACTTGACAGTTTCCTTTGAGAGGAAGTGACACCATCAAACCAGCTAAAAATAGAGCAAAGAATGATTGTCCAATTACGTAATACTTTCCACCTTTCAAGACATTTTTTTTAATTCATGTGCTGTACCTCTATTTATAAAAAGCAGATTCAGTACTAATACACATAAAAATCGGAGGTTAGTTTATAAGGACTATAAAAATATCTCGTTGTTCAATTAAGAACATTTTTCATGGATGCGAAATTTTAGGCCGCTGATGTCAACAAGGTGACTTATATGAACCTGGTAAGAGAAACAAAAGTTGGAGTGGAGATCATATTTTTGGTTTAAACGTGAATTTAACCAATCCAAAACACTTAGTTCTGTGCAAGTGTAAGCTGTAAACAGTTTACACCACCCTGATCATGCACTTAATGGAAATGCACGTTTACTTCTTTTTACTTACTCTGAATACTACCAGGGGAACCACCTGTGTTCACTCTGGTGACTCAGAGCCTGGAACAGACTTGCTCCCTTTGAGCTGAGCACCCAGACCGCTTCCAAAACAAAAATGAAATCAACATTTCCCTTGGGCTGAAGCACATTGATTGAGGAGGAACGGACTTTTTTTTCCTCTTCTCGGAATGGTATATAGAGGCAGCTGCCTCCAGTGTGGCACTGCTGTAGCAGATGAAGAACAATCAAGCTTGATACAAAACAAACTCCCCCTTCTGTAATTCTCCAGACTTACAAACTGTACACTTCTCTTCTAAATTACATTTTGGGTTAGGGTTCTTTGCGGTCTGTACAAAGTATTTATGCATACACGTGCACAGTCCTAGAGCAATTTTTGCTCTGAAAAAACTCTAATTCAATTTTTTAAACAATTTAATTCACATAATATTAAGTCTGAAACTGCAGAATACTACACTGTACCACAGGATTCGCATTTCCAGTATCCAGAATAATTCTGGCCTCATAAATACTACCACTTACATTAACACAAAGGTCAGACATATTTGTGATTCATTTATGCCACACGGTTTTTTTGGTAACTACCACAGAAATTACACAAAAATGCCAGACATACATAAGACTATTTTGCTAGCATGCCTCCTCTGCAAAGAACGAAGTCTAACACAGGGTTTGTTTCATCTACTTGTTTTCATTAGACCTACTCCAAGCTGAAAAGATAGGAGACATATTTTAGAAAAGAACTACAATAACAAGGAAAAATAAACAGAAAACAAAGCACCACAGTGGGGCAGTACTGTTAACCACAATACCTTCTGTTTCTTCTCTCACTGAAAATATTAAACAGATATTTTCTGGGTTCTCCATCGTATCACAAGTTGATCCAGAGTCATCAACTCTAACAGAAAGCACTCTCAGCAATAACTTGACTTCCCTTGCTTAAAAAAAAAAAAAAAACGTAAAAGAAAGAACAAACATAGAAAGCAAAATCCCATACTCCTGGGTTTTCCTATCCATGCGCACTCCACCAATAAGCTTGTCCCTTTATATTACTGACTAGTTAGCAAACATCCCTTCAAATTTTTTATCTGGTCATACCTGAATGTTAGAGAGTCTTCTGAGAGGTTCTTCTGCAAGTGTAAAAAAGTGGGGTGAAAGCTGAAAGTGATGGAGCACTGTGGTCTTTTCTGCCTTACACTGTTACTGCTGACTAGTTTGGTCGTGATATGGAGCCATGATGTCATGCTGTCTACTGGCTAAGAGAGTAGCTGCCTTTTTGTCTGCTTAAAAAGCAGTGATCCTTACCAGGAAAGATGTTTGGGGTATTCTTCCCCATCTTCCATCCTTTCCTCCAGGACAGCTCCATCTCCGCAGCTTGGTCACAGGTGTTGGCTTATGTGTGGATTATTAAATTAATCTGTCATTTGTGTATTTGACTAGGCAAAACATTACATAGAACGACTAGGAACAATTTACAAAAGACCGTGTAGAATTAGACCTTTTCCATATTAATCATCTGAAGCACAGGATATCCTTAGCCACTCAGTATCAGGATTTCCACTACAAGAATATACCACAAGAATATATATGTCTCTCAGTTCATTACTCTAATTTGATGCAAGATAAGGACCAAATAAAAGCAAAATTTTAAGCGCCTCAAAGCAGCATAAGCAAAGCCCACCCCAGCTTCACAAGGAAACTCATGCTTAATAGCTCAAAAGTTACATGCATTTTATGGCTCTACAACCTCTCCTGAGTAAACCCATGTGCATATTCTCACCACGCTGCAATTCAGGCTGGCTAACTTGCACAATCTCAAACCTCAGTGCTCCCATTAGGCTCACAGTGAGTGAGCCAATATAAAAATTAAGCAGCAAAAAAATGTCATCACCGCGTAATATTCCCCAATTCTTGACACCTCATCATTTGCTTCAGTGGTTATTCACACAAGACCCATATGGCTTTCAACTTATTGAGTCTTTTCTTCTAATTGTTTCCTGCTGCTACAAGTTTGTTTGCCATTTTCTGTTGACCAAGAGCTTTTCTAAAGGTCACAACTGAGTCTATCTGTGGTACCAAAAAAAGAAACTGTAATAATAGTAATAATAGCAGCAACCATTTGCTCTCCAGCCTGAGGATATACAATACTGGCACAAGCACATAAAAAACCCTCCAAACAACAGAACAGTAGAACAGGGAAAAAACCTCCCATCAGTATTATCTCCACCTCAGGCACAGCCTGACTCATTATCCCCAGATTTCAGAATAAAGAATAATCTCAGTACACGTAAATTAAAAAGTTGTATGTAAATATTTTATTCTCTCATATTTTGTAAATCAGAAAGCAGTGTTTGGTAATAAAAAACAATACAGAATTATTATTTTTCTTCCAGTCCACACTCATATATTACCAGGTTTTCCACATCACAGATAAAACTGTCTCTTACAGTCTGAACGTAACATTCAGTTTAGGTATAATCTGTACTTCTGGCTTATTTAATATTAGTCTTCTGAACTATTTACAAATATATTACAACCTTTAAACCTCAAAGCAAAGGAGTATTTCAATAATCAATCTGACATAAGGATCAGTAGCTCCTACATAACTTCAGTGTTTAAGAGAAACTATACACGCAGTGCAGTAGGTCTGAATAATTTATATCTTTAAAAAAAAAGAAAAGCATTGAAAGTTTCTGAATATAAAACTTTCCCATTGCAGTGGTACCTACTGACCCGCCTTAACTGGTGGACAAGAATGTGATGTGATGTCACTGTGCTTGTAAAGAGCCTCATCTAAGTCCAGTGCCTTGTTACTCAGCTTCACAGTCATGCAGCCGTGGTAGAACGCAGTGACCGGAGTTGAAGTGACAGGAACATCTGGGCAAAAGGGGAGACACACATTTCTGAGGGCCCATTTAGAATAAACACCTGCCCCACCACACTCAGATGATCACAACTCTGACAAATTCAAACTCTTCTCTTTTCCACTCTGGGATTTCTTCCTTACCCCGACCCCTCTCACAAGATTGCAAGAGTGCACTTTCAGACACAGGAAGAATGCCTTCTGCTTTCCTACACAACAACCCATTCTCCTAGGCTGAACCCTCAGCTGCTCTGCATCTGTGCAAGGCCTCCAACACTGATGAAACTGTGCTGCTGCACAGCAGCGCAGCTTCTCACCTGTCACACTACGAACACTGTGTTCACACTGCGTTTCCGTCCTGCTGTGTTCTCCCCCTCCATCTCCGAACCCTCTATTTTGTCTTTAGTGGAGCTGCTAAACCTTCCTCTAATGATCAGTCCTTGTGCTTCAAAATATTTGCTGAAATGTCATAGGAAGAACTTAATGATAGGAAGGCCCTCTCCATACACAGAATCGACCATTTGCTGCAGTCATCTTTACTGTTCTGTGATTTTGCTATATATCAGCACAGGGAGGTTCCTGGCATTCATCAGAAAGGTGCTGGAAGACATCAACTGAGTTGGTAAGACCAATGAGAATAATTTTTTCCTAGGGAAATCCACTGGTGACATCCTTCTAACCAGTTTCAGGAGCAGAAAACAAACAGCAATGAGAAGACGAGAAGGAATTAGTCAATCTTATTACTAACTTCCGTAACATCACATACACATTGACCTTAAATAAAGAAACAAAAATGCATGTAGCAAAACATAACATGAACATTTAAATGAACTGTCTGTCCTTTAACCTTCCCTAAAGGTTACTTTATTTACAGCTCAAAGTCAACCCAGTCAAGCTCATTGT